ATCCCCGGGACCACCCATACGTAAAAATGTATGCACACATGACTGTAAGTCGCTTTGGATAAAAGCGTCTGCTAAATGGCATATTATTATATTATTATTTGTCATTGCTTTGACACAAAATGCATTCAATGACAACATCTTTCAAATTACATAAATACTTGTCTCACAAAAACACATTTACCAACAAAACTTTATGTATCTACAGACCATTTTGCAAATGTTAAGATACCCTTTTCAAAACTGTTAAACTCAAGCTTAAAAGCTACTGAAAATTGAATTAGACTGCAATTTGTACATTGCTACAGTAAAAGCAAAATAGAAATTCTGTTCAAATATTTTTTATTGAACACACACAAGAATGGTGTACAGGTATGAAAGACATGTGTACAGTTCTTATCTAAACATAAGAGAACAGACATGAACAACAAGACCCAGAGTTCTGGACACAAAACAAATATTACAAAACACGACATACAGAACAGGGACAGGTAGAAAGAAAAAGGGTAGATGTAACCCCCCCCACTTATACACCCCTTTATCCCCCCCCCCCCCCCCCCCCCCCCATTCCACCCTATTCCCCTCCCGACTGCTCGAATGTCGGGGCCAGCACACCCTGCCCAAAGGTAGATTATAATATGACAATTGAGAATGCGTTAAAGAGTACAAATTCACAGCACCGACTGGTCCAAGTAAGAGAGGAAAGGCTGCCAGATTTGATCAAATGTTGATAATTTATTGTTCAGAATATATCTAATTCTTTCTAAGTGTACAGTGTTTGCCAATTCGCTGAGCCATAATTTGGTAGAGGGCGCTTCCCTCCTTTTCCAAAACAACAAGATTATTTTTTTTGCCAAAATGAGACTGTAAGAGATGAGTTGTTTTTGGGAGTTGGTTAATCCGTTTAGGGAATCGGACACTCCCAGGATTATCAGAAGCGGGTCTGGGTCTATTGAAGTCTCCAGAACTTCAGAGAGGACCCCAAAAATTCCACACCAATAACCATACAGACTAGAGCATAGGGCAAAGCAGTGGAGTAGTGTACCCTGCTCAGCCTGACATTTATCACACATAGGGGATGTATCAGGAAATATCCTATGCAGTTTAGTTTTGGAAAAGTGTAATCTGTGTAATACCTTAAATTGTATGAGACGATGTCTGGAGTTAATGGAGCAGGTGTGGATATACTCCAAGCTATCCTCCCAGTCTGCCACCGAAATATCAGTCCCTAGTTCTTCCTCCCATTTTGCCTTAATGGCATCAGTAGAGGGTGCGCTTACGGATTGAAAAGTGTCATATAGACGAGATATCAGTTTGTCTGAGGTGGGGCATATTTTTATGCATCCGTCAAACATGGAAGGTTTAGTATTCCCAAATGTTGGGAGGTGTTTTCTAACATAGTCTCTAATTAGTAGGTATCTGAAAAAGTTACTTCTGGGAAGGTTATAAGTTTCCCTCAGCGATTCAAAGGAAGCAAAGGTCCCTCCTATATATAAATCCCATCTGGTAGTTATCCCCAACTCTCCCCATCGCTCAAAGGTGTTATCAAGGTTAGAGGGGGCAAAGGAGGGATTCCTGGCAACAGGGAGCATGAATGATATTGGTCTAAGCTCAAAGTGGACTTTAATTTGCTTCCAGATTCGGACTGTGCTATGTGTAATAGGATTGTTACGGTAAATTGACATCTCCAGATTGACAGGTGACAAAATCACAGCACCAATAGAGAAGGGGTGACACTCCTCCCGCTCCATGCTAAGCCAGCTGGATGGCGGAGGTGCGTCATCCAGCAAAAACGTAACAGCGCGGAGGTTAGCGGCCCAATAGTAAAATATAAAATTTGGGAGAGACAATCCTCCTTCCATCTTGGATTTACATAGGTGTTTTTTACCTATCCTGTGTGTTTTATAATCCCAGATGAAAGGATTGATAATAGAGTCCAGTTGTTTATGAAAGGATTTAGGTATGGGATGTTCTGGTATAGGTAGAGCAGTTGTGGGAGGAAGACCATTTTAATGGCATTAATTCTTCCGAGCAGAGAAATTGGGAGAGTTCTCCAAAATTGTATGTTTGCCTTGAGATTTTGCATCAGAGAAGGGAAATTCTCTTTAAATAGTAAGGAGTATTGTTTGGTAACTACAATTCCAAGGTAGATAAATGTTTCTGAAGATAACTTAACTGGAATATGTTCTTGCCAGGAGGTGTTTTGCAACCGTATGGGCATTAATTCACTCTTGTTCCAATTTATTCTGTATCCCGAGAAGGTACCAAACAAATTAATCACCTCAAGAATAGCTGGAATAGCAAAATAGAAATTCTAAAATAAATAATAATAACTCTTAATTATTCACAGCTGATTTTCATTCTACATTACGTAACTGAAGACCTACCCAGGTGTTTTTCATTTTTATGTCATTACGATCTCTACAAAAGGGGACATCTTTGGAATATATTTTACATAAACATGGACCCAGCCAGAGATCATGTAGTGGCTTACAGAGGTGGAAAAATTGCCGGGAGAGGCAGAGGATTGCGTAACCGTGGTGGAAGACGACTGAGGGGAAGACCCAGAGTTGTAGTGTCAGATGAGATTAGGGCTACAATCATTGATCATGTTGTCAATCATGGTCTATCAATGAGAGATGCTGGTCTCAGAGTGCAGCCAAATTTGCAACGCTCAACTGTGTCATCTATTATAAGAACCTTCCAGCAAACTAACAGGTAAGATATGCATTCTGCATGGGCATCTAACTGTACTGAATATTACTGTAGAGTAGTAAATCGAGCAAAAGCTCTCCGAACCACTTGTGTGTAATTTTATTTCTGTTTTAGGACCCAACGGTTACCAAATGGAGGGGGGAGAGGTAGGATTTTCTCTGCTCAGCAGGAAGCTCTAATTGTTTACATGGTCATTAGCAACAATGCCATAAAACTCAGAGAAATTCAAGAGAGAGTGTTGGCAGACAATAATACATTTCAAAATGTTGAAAGTGTAAGCACGACAACCATTGCTAGGGTTTTGACAAAGCATCATATCAGCATGAAGTAGGTGTAGACTGTTCCCTTTGAGAGGTCATTCATTTCATTCATGGATGACCTCAATGGAAGGCTTTTGCCAGGTGAAGAAAGAGGGCAAGTCAGAAGAAATATAGAAACCTGGGTGATTGTATGGGACAATGTGGCATTTCACCACTCCCATGCAGTCACAGAGTGGTTTGCAGCCCATCCCAGGATGGTGTCACTTTTCCTCCCCCCTTACTCTCCCTTCCTCAACCCCATAGAATCATTATTTTCCTCATGGAGGTGGAAAGTTTATGTCAAATGTCACTATTGGATGCAATGAATGCAGGATGCCTGGATATCTGGTGTATTGCGCGAGAGGCCATACGGTGTGATGTGGATGAGAACTTGTGGCCCAATGCAGCAGACAGGGTTGACTAGCATTGTTATATATCTGTTTCAGTTGGACAATATGCTATGCATATTCATAGTGTGTATACACTTTTTGTTTGTTTAACAGTACTGGAATTACATATTTTTGTGCATTTTGGAATTACTCTGCAAAAAGCAAAATACAGTAATATGCAAAAATACAGTAAATTATATTGAAGCATATTGCAGCCTTTCTGCTTTATTTCTTTACATATCTTGCAGGACATTCTATACAGTACAGGTTTGCCACTCTTCTTTTGTAAAAATGACTGTTGGTTCATCTAAAAAAATATGATATTAAAGACAAATTGACACATTTTCAAGTGGTAGCTGTTTTTAGAGTTTCGTAGGTCATGATACAATGAATGACAAAATGTGTATGTTGTGAGAGACTATTCGCTTTCATTTAGTAGAAAAGGTTTCTTTTGAGACATGTAGGATGTGCATTGCCAAGTTGCATGTTGTTTTGATAACTGTATTTAGAATTTTGCACATGTATCCGCAGTATTGAACAATGCTTGTTAGCAATCGAAAAAAAACTGTAATATATACAGTAATACAATACATACTAATATTTGTATTTGAGACAGGTCGCTTTTGTCTGTTATAGAAGTGTGTGGGTTTGTGTGTGCACTGTGCATGCATGTGTGTCTATTTACGTGTGTGTAATAGGTTATTGTTCATGTGTGGGTTAAAGCCATGGTCGTATTCTTGCACTCTAGATGTCGCCTGCTTTGTCACAATGCCTCCCCCTCTCTCTCTACTTCCGTCTGTCTCTGTCTGCTTTCCTGTCTGCCTCCATCCCCCTTTATCACACTGACGCTATCTCTCTCTCCTCTTTAACTCCATCTGCTCTGTCTCACTCTGTCTTTCCATGTCTTCCCCTCCTCCCAGTAGGAATGTTTTATGGAGAGAGAGAGGAGGAGAGGAGGAGAGGAGGGGAGAACGGGAGGAGGAGAGGAGGAGAGGAGGGGAGGAAGGGAGGAGGACAGGAGGAGAGGAGGAGAGGAGGAGGGGAGGGGGAGAGGAGGAGAGGGGAGGAGAAGAGGAGAGGAGGGGAGGAGAGGAGGAGAGGAGGAGAAGAGGAGGTGGAGAGGAGAAGAGGAGAGGAGGAGAGGAAGAGAGGAGAGGAGGAGAGGAGGAGAGAGAAAGAGACACCAGGAAAGAGGACTAGTGGTCTCCCTCTGATAGTTTCGTATTGTATTTGTACAGGTGTGGCATGGTGTGTGTTACTGTATCGGTGTGGGTGTGTATGATTTAACAGTGGTGCCTCTGTCTTAGTGCCCACCCTGTTGGGCTGACGTGTCCCACCCTGCCTCCCCCTCTCCTGCTCACCCCCTCTCCCCGTCCTGTGCGTGAGACTGACGATGCACAGGCCCCGTCTCCCCTGTCGCTGAGCTGGGGCTGTGGCAGGGAGACAGCCTTTTTTGGCTTGCATACATCTTTAACTCACACGTACACACACATACACACAGACACAGACACACAGAGACAGACACACACACACACACACACACAAACACACACACACACACAGTAGGCAGGCAGATACACACACACAGGCGTGCGTATAAGGTCTGTCTGATATTAGATTCACTAGTCAGAGCTGAAGAGGTGAAATATTAAAACATAATATTTCAGTCATCTCCCCATTAGCAACAGACTCAGTGTGGAGCCCCACTTTTCTGTCTCCTCTCCTTACAGTCTCTATACAGCGCAAAGCAGACTCATGACAGTCTGTCACCAACGCAGTATTGGCATTATTACATATCCTGACCCATAGCATTCTACATACAGTATGTATGACACAATCCCCTGTTATCAATATAAATACTAATAATTAATCTGGTGTAAGTTTAGGGGTTGGGCCCATAGTGCTATTCCCTCTCTCTGTCAGGCCTGTAGCCTCCCTCAGTCCCTCTCTCTGTCAGGCCTGTAGCCTCCCTCATTCCCTCTCTCTGTCAGGCCTGTAGCCTCCCTCATTCCCTCTCTCTGTCAGGCCTGTAGCCTCCCTCATTCCCTCTCTCTGTCAGGCCTGTAGCCTCCCTCATTCCCTCTCTCTGTCAGGCCTGTAGCCTCCCTCATTCCCTCTCTATGTCAGGCGTGTAGCCTCCCTCAGTCCCTCTCTCTGTCAGGCCTGTAGCCTCCCTCATTCCCTCTCTATGTCAGGCCTGTAGCCTCCCTCATTTCCTCTCTCTGTCAGGCCTGTAGCCTCCCTCAGTCCCTCTCTCTGTCAGGCCTGTAGCCTCCCTCAGTCCCTCTCTCTGTCAGGCCTGTAGCCTCCCTCAGTCCCTCTCTCTGTCAGGCCTGTAGCCTCCCTCATTCCCTCTCTCTGTCAGGCCTGTAGCCTCCCTCAGTCCCTCTCTCTGTCAGGCCTGTAGCCTCCCTCATTCCCTCTCTCTGTCAGGCCTGTAGCCAACCTCAGTCCCTCTCTCTGTCAGGCCTGTAGCCTCCCTCATTCCCTCTCTCTGTCAGGCCTGTAGCCTCCCTCAGTCCCTCTCTCTGTCAGGCCTGTAGCCAACCTCAGTCCCTCTCTCTGTCAGGCCTGTAGCCAACCTCAGTCCCTGTGTGCTGGTGGGATCCCAGGCAGCTCTAATTAGATCCGCAGGGCTCATTAGTCTGCTGGTAGATTACATACTTCATTAGCCTCTGGAACAACAGATCACAGCTCATTCAGCACTAATGGCTGCTACGCCACATTGCACTGACACATGTACACTCACTCCATCTCCATAACTCTCCTCTCGGTAATACAAACACACATGTTCACACACTTTCTCTTTGCCACACACACACACCGGCACACATTGCATGTATTGCATGGACATACAAATGTACGCAGACACACAATGTCAATTATGCTTGCAATTCTTTACACAATTTGTCTAAAGTCTGTCATGAATTACTATGTATCAGCGGATCTGAGAGCTACAAATGTATCTAACATGTAGCAGAGGGGCTTGTTGCAATAAAGAGGGGATGAGGGGGTGAAGGGTGGAGGAGAGGAAATGAAATGATGAAAGGTGGAGCAGGAATGAGATGAGAGCGATAAAGAGACCTTTGAGTGGGGGTCTATGAGGATGCCATGGCTTCCATCATATGTATGCACCACATAGCTACCGTCAGCGTGTGTGTGTGTGTGTGTGTGTGTGTAAGAAAGGAGCCTTTCTCCAGACGCCTGCCAGCTGCCCTCCCCCCTCCCGTCCTGTCCTAGCAGAGAAGGAGTTAAGACCTCAGCTGTCAGCAACAAAAACAAACTGAGGGGGCAATTTTCACTAAATGTTTTAACCCCACCACAGGCCCAGCCCAGCAAATCAATGTCTCCCCCTCCTCCTGATCTTTTCTCTCGCGCTACCTCCCTCTTTCATCTCTCTTCTTCCGCAGTCTCTCTCGCTCCTTCCCTCCTCCATCCCTCTCTCTGTCTCTGTCTGCCAGGGGAGGTTCACACACAGCAGCATAGCAGCAGTGGCTGTAGCCTGTGGGGTCTGGCAGACACAGTCTAAATATGGAAAGCCAGCGGGAAACACTTTAAATGTTCCTACAGAAAACCATTGACCCCTACAGTGGTCCTGACATAGTCCATGTGGTCCAGAACCAAGGTCGCCATGGTCAGGCTGTGGGTCTCTGAGTATGCAGCATAAAGGTGGTTGACCTACAGGGGGTAAATGAGTATAAATGGCTTTTGCTGATTTGATCCATTAGGGGACCAGGACCGGGACATGACCATTCACAATTGTCGGCCATCACACCCCACCGGTAATGGCACTCAGAGGGTCTCACCCACTCCACAGGGGGTAGACGAGGGTGTAATGTGCAGTCTTAAATAAACAGTTGTAGAAGGGTGCTATTAGCCAAGGAATCATTCCATGTTATACATATAAAAATGGCCAGTGGTGACTTGATGCATTAGGGGACCAGGACACGACCGTTCCCGGTCATCGGTCATCACACTCCACCGGTGGAAGCACTTATTGGGCTGCATGCATAGGAAATGAAATCATTATGAAGGGGAGGAGGGGAGGAGAGAGGGATAAGGAGGGGAAACACTCCTGATTCCCATTAATCCTACTACTAAAACAGAGCCTGAGAGCTTCAGGGTAGAATTTCCTGATTCCCTCCTTTAGATTTACACGTCAAGCGAGAGGTGCTCTGTTCAACACCATGGTTCAGCTAGTTCAGATGCACTTCGGCTAGAATTTCTCTCCCCCGGTTGGTTGACTGGAAGGCTGGGAGGTGATTTATAGATGTGCTGGTACTGTAAAAGTGTAAATGTACACCCAGGGTTAGGGTGCAGGGATGCTGGAGTTATTAAAGCTTTGTTACATTACTCATTCTCACATTGTGGAAGGGGCTGAGTCAGACAGGGACTTCCCTGAGCATCTCTACAGAGGCAGGCACACACTCACGCACACATGCACGTGCCCACACACGAGTGCACACGTACACACGCACACGCACACACGATTGCATGCATACACACGCACACCCACATACAGTATACACACACACACTTGCACGTCGTGGACGCACGCACACACACGTGCGCACACACATCAGAAACATCGGATGGCGCTCATATTTCCAATTAGGGTGGAGGAATTCATCCTTATTTTCCTTGGCCGACTTGTTTTGTTGGAGTGCAGATTTGTGTGTTTTATTCCATTCCATCCATCACCTCTCTCTCACTCTCTCTCTCTCTCCACCCCCTGTCTTCTCTTCTCCCTTTTTTCATGGTCTGCTGTTCCATAGCCTGTGAAGCAACAGCTTGTGTTTGTTTGCAGCATAGTAACAGTGCCCAGCGTGTGTTCTGTGTGTGGAGGTGTGCGTCATCGTCCCCCTCCTCCACCTCAGGTGTCCACCAACCAGCCTGCCTGCCCATGCTCTGAGGGCATGGATCCCTCTCTCCTTCTGACGCTGGTACAGCCTCCATCTCCCTCATGCCTGTGCCTATCCACATCACTCTCTATAGTAGAGGGATTATCCCTATGTCCTCTCCCCATCCAGCGTCGCTTGGTTATATTGACAGGGTGCAGGGATGGGGAGAGGGAGGGATGGAGGGAGGGAGGAGCGGAGAAAGGCAAGGACGGGCTGTTTGAGTAATGAGGTGCTGACACGGCTGGAGTCAGGCCCACGAAGCCCTCAGCCTGGGTGGCAACAAGACACACGCTACAATAGAGGAGAGAGGGATGGGGACAGAGAGACTGAATGTGTGTGTTTGTGTGTGGTGCAGGTGTGTTTGAATGTTTGTTTGTGTGTGTGGGTGTTTTGGGTGTGGGTGAGGGATTGAGGGCATTTTTACATATGAAATTTGGAACCCTGGTTCGGTTTCCTGGAACATTATGTTTTGCTTTTACAAGACCTGAAAATAACTGTTTCAGGGTGTGATTTGAGAGACGTACATTCTACATAACGTTAGCTAGCTAGCTAGTTTACAACAAATAAAAAGTTCCACGCGACTCGTGCTGCCGCGTCACAATACCTGGTACTCTCGTCCTGGATTTTGGAACCGTTACTCACACAAGTCCAGGATTCGTTTCAGTCTGGGTTCGTTTGTGTTTCGCACATGCTTTATAGCTCGGATCAGGGTACCAAGCGCTCCAGGCTCATACAGGGGATATGTGAAAGCGCCCTCACAAATCAAGAAAGAGAGAAGAATGCAAGATATCAGAAATGTATTTTCTACCTCCTCTAATAGTCTCTAGAGTCAGAAACAGTCACTCTGAGAGACAGGGCAGACCAGAGAGAGGTGAGGGTACATTTGGCCTCCTGTAGCAGGTGTGTGTTCCTGGCTATAGTCCTGATCTCTGTGGCTGTCTGGTGGCCAGGAAGAGAGATGACCACACACACATGCACACACACACACACACACACACACACACACATACTTATAATTCATCCCACACATACCCCGGACCAGACTAAATGACCTCCTCTGCCTGTGGTAACCGTACGCCTCTGTAAGAACTCTGTTTAGACTGTTTATGTATGACATCAAACAGAGACAAAATAAACAAGACACATCAGACAGCTTGACATCACAGGAGGAATGCACAGTGCTTTTTTTCACTGACCATAAAAGGGCTTCATAGCTGAAATGAATGAAATATCTGCTTTACACAGACATGAGGGTCACTGAAGCTGTCAGCGTCCATTCTGGGAGCAGCCTTCAGCTGTGGAGGGGACAGGAGAGAGGAGGAGAGAGGAGGAGAGGAGTAGAAAGGCGGAGTGGAGGGTGGAAGGAGTAGTGGTGTCTATTCAATGTCAATTGGGGTGGTGGGTATTCAGCAGCCTGATGATCTGGGTGTAGTTATTGGCCAGTCTGTTAGTTTTAGCCATGATGCTCCTGTACTCCCACGTCTGAGTGATGGAAGCGGGAAGAACAGGCCGTGGCTCGGGTAGCTGAGGTCCCTGATGATTTTCTTGGCCATCCTGCGACCCCCCCACCACCCCCACCCCCCTCCTCTCTCCTCTCTTCTCTTCTCTGGAGGGGCCTGGTGTGGGGGAGGGAGAGTGCTGTAATCTGGCTGTCTGAACTGGCCGACACTCTGCGACAGCCTCTCCTCACTCATCATGCCAATCCCAACGCAGCCTTTGAACTCCGCCGCCAAGAAAGTGTAGCACTGCTTTTTTCCCCCTCAGGAATGATCAGAAAAATCATAATAATAAAATAGGGGATCTGAAAAAAGCTGGCGAGCTAGGGGCCTTGAAGATTGTCAGCATGCTGTTAATAAGCTGAAGGAGCATGCTGAGGGGGTGATGTCAGAGAGCATTAGGCCTTATTGCTGGGTTGAGTGACACCTGGGATTATCAACTGTAGAGAGGAATAAAACAGCTTTCATCAGAGTGGGGCTGGGGCCTGTCTGTTTGATGTCAGAGTGAAGGAATCACACACACACACACACACAGGGTTTGGGGAAGGGGACCAGGAGCAGAGTGCACTACAATATGGGGTCATTAAGAACAAGTGTAGTGAATGATCAAGGGCCAGTATGTGTTAGGAACTAAGGATGGTTCCACTACCACCACAACAGGGGCTGCCCTGTCTCTTCAGACCTCTGTTTCAGACTAGAGACTATCATGTCTCTTCAGATCTCTGTTTCAGGCTAGAGGCTATCATGTCTCTTCAGACCTCTGTTTCAGACTAGAGACTATCATGTATTTTCAGACCTCTGTTTCAGACTAGAGACTATCATGTAACCATCTGTTATCATTACTAAGGAGAATACATTTTCTGGACCACATTGCCTGATCAGGAAAAACTCTGGGCCCTATCTATCATGTACAGCCCTATCTGAGATGTGAACTGACCTGTTGTGTTTCCTGTTAGGTCACTTCCTGGGGAACCACAGTGTGTTGGACATCCTGAGACAGGAGGGCTATGAGGTGGTGCACACACCGTCACACTACCAGGAACCAATCCCAGAGTGAGTACAGAGACACACGCCGCCCACACAGCAGGGCTACAACCCAAACACATACACACACATTGATACATACAGTACCAGTCAAAAGTTTGGACACACTTACTCATTCAAGGGTTTTTCTTTATTTTTACTATTTTCTACATTGTAGAATAATAGTGAAGACATCAAAACTATGAAATAACACATATGGAATCATGTAGTAACCAAAAAAGTGTTAAACAAATCCAAATATATGTTATATTTGACATTCTTCTAATAGCCACCCTTCGCCTTGATGACAGCTTTGCACACTCTTGGCATTCTCTCAACCAGCTTCATGAGGTAGTCACCTGGAATGCATTTCAATTAACAGGTGTGCCTTGTTAAAATTTTATTTGTGGAATTTCTTTCCTTCTTAATGCGTTTGAGCCAATCAGTTGTGTTGTGTATACAGAAGATAGCCCTATTTGGTAAAAGACCATGTCCATATTATGGCAAGAACAGCTCAAATAAGCAAAATAATATAAGAAACAAATAAGAAACGACAGTCCATCATTACTTTAAGACATGAAGGTCAGTCAATACGGAAAATGTCAAGAACTTTTAAAGTTTCTTCAAGTGCAGTCGCAAAACCATCAAGCGCTATGATGAAACTGGCTCTCATGAGGACCGCCACAGGAATGGAAGACCCAGACTTACCTCTGCTGCAGAGGATAGGTTCATTAGAGTTACCAGCCTCAGAAATTGCAGCCCAAATAAATGCTTCACAGTTCAAGTAACAGACACATCTCAACATCAACTGTTCAGAGGGGACTGTGTGAATCAGGCCTTCATGGTCGAATTGCTGCAAGGAAACCAATACTAAAGGACACCAATAAGAAGAAGAGACCTGCTTGAGCCAAGAAACACGCGCAATGGACATTAGACCGGTGGAAATGTGTCCTTTGGTCTGGAGTCCAAATTGGAGATTTTTGGTTCCAACCGCCGTGTCTTTGTGAGGCGCGGTGTGGGTGAACGGATGATCTACGCATGTGTAGTTCCCACCGTAAAGCATGGAGGAGGAGGTATTATGGTGTGGGGGTGCTTTTCTGGTGAAACTGTCTGCGATTTATTTAGAATTCAAGGCACACTTAACCAGCATGGTTGCCACAGCATTCTACAGCGATACGCCATCTCATCTGGTTTGGGATTAGTGGGACTATCATTTATTTTTCAACAGGACAATGACCCAACACACCTCCAGGCTGTGTAAGGGCTATTTTACCAAGAAGGAGAGTGATGGAGTGCTGCATCAGATGACCTGGCCTCCACAATCCCCCGACCTCAACCCAATTGAGATGGTTTGGGATGAGTCGGACCGCAGAGTGAAGGAAAATCAGCCAACAAGTGCTCAGCATATGTGGGAACTCCTTCAAGACTGTTGGAAAAGCATTCCAGGTGAAGCTGGTTGAGAGAATGCCAAGCGTGTGCAAAGCTGTCATCAAAGCAAAGGGTGGCTATTTGAAGAATCTCAAATATAAAATATATTTTGATTTGAACACTTTTCTGTTTACTACATGATTCCATATGTGTTATTTCATAGTTTTTATGTCTTCACTATTATTCTACAATGTAAAAAATAGAAAAAATAAAGAAAGGCCCTTGAATTAATAGGTTTGTCCAAACTTTTGACTGGTAGTGTATGTATGGGCATTGGGCACTAATTCATATGAACCCTCTCACAAACACACAGTCACAAGTTACCCCATAACTTTACAATCCCACATCAACCGTGTTCACTCCAGAGCAGAAACACATTACATGTACTAATTGACCCCCACAGATGTGCTAAATGTAGCACACATGTTTCAGTACATGTAGTACACCATTACACAACCAGAGCTCAGCTAAATAGGAATCCTTTGATTCCCCCAACCCTCACTCCCTCCCCCCGCCAGCTGTGAGAGGTGGGCCAGCCTGCTCCCAGCTACCCCTTGCATGGCCACCTCATAGAAAGGCCTCAACCATTTGCCTCCTGGAGAGGGGTGCTGCATCTCCTCACGCAAACCAGCCCCCAGTCTCCCCTGTGAACTCTCCCACCCCGAACACCCCAGCATGCAGGCAGCAGCAGGAGGACTTGGGGGGGGTTGATCCAAGGGCCGAGCAGGTCGGGCCCATTAAAATAGCAGCGATAATGGTTACAGCATTCACTTGAACTAGGGTGAAAATTGAAAAATTAGGAACAACAAGGGAAATCACATAAAGCAGAGCTACAGTAAAATCTCCCATCCAGCCACTGCTTTTACAAACTCACTTCCCCACTGCAAATTCCAGCTGTAAGCAAACCGTTCCTCCCTGGCTCATACACAGACCAGGCCCCAGCCGAGCTGAAGGCCACAGCAGTTCTGTTTCAAAAACTGACAAGTGGAATGACTGATTGTGGTCGAAACACAAAACACAAAACCCCTCAAAGCATGTTGTGCTCTCTGATATGAGGTGACACAACAACACAATATGTCAGGAAGCTTGTCGGGTGTTTATGAAGTGTAAACCTCAAAACTGAGCCTGAACCCAGAGGCATCACGTGTTCTCTGCTCAATAGAGATATTATGACAGAAGGAAAAAGTGACTCAGTGTAGAGTGGCTATAGCCCACAGCCAGCCACTGTAGTCAGTATTACACTGGCAAACACAGAACTGAGCACTGTGTGGTCTGGACCTAGGGCCTCATTATGATGTCAAACCTCCAGGGTGTTTACTGATGGGAAAGCAATATGACCCTTCATATGCATAGTAGGAAGAAGTTTCCCCTAGATGTTAAGGTATATGGGGTTTGGGGGTTTTCTGATCATAGATCTGTGCCTACAGGCAACTACCGGTAACCAGATAGGGAAAGACAGGTAAGGAATGAACTCCTTGTGGATTAGTGTAGGGCCATGTTTCAATACTTTTGAAATGTATTCTAACTTCCTCCTTTCCTGCTTGCACATGATTGTGTTGATCAAAGCAATGTAATTGAACCCTTACTTTCACCTATCCGACCGTGTTACATTAGTGACTACTTCAATGAAATAAATATGGTAAGGATGAATTTCTAAGGTATTGAGTTGTCAAGGTGGTTGGGGCAGATGTCACTCAGACAAGCCTCCACATGGGTTACAGTTTCCTCCCTTGTGGCTGATTTAGACACTTAGTAAACTTTTTACAAGCACAGAGGGCATCGTGTCCCTGTTTGAAGTTCAAAGCCCTTTGGACCATATAGGTAGACTAGAAAGCACCATGGCAGTCAGGTCACCTTAAACCACACACCATTACACATTCACACACAGCATATAAGGAGAACCTCCCTAAAATATCTTACATAAACTGCTCACCAACATCATTCTGTTATCTTTAATCTATGCTAGTGATGAGTGAACACACAGCCAGGTCTATACCATAATGCTATGATATTCAACAAGCATATAGTGTTCTGTCCCACAGAGAACCAACAGATAACCCCAGCAATGGGGGCTCCGATGCGGGTACAGCCGCTCCCTCTGACTGGGTGACCAGCCCCTCAGATCTGGATGATAGCCTGGATGGTCTGGAGGAGCTGGAGGATGAGGAGCTGCCCCACATGCTGCTGCCAGACAGCCTGAGCCAGCTAGAGGAGTTTGGGAGACACAAGCGCCCCCGGAAGGCCCACCGCGGCCATGGCCGCCCACGCCTCTTCAGTGACCTGTGGGTCCGCATCGGTGACGGGTGAGAGAAGAGGGGAACAAACACACACTGTCTCTAGCTCTTTATTGAAACCATTCAATGACAACAAAAAAATTGCATAAAATGAAGAGCAGCAGACAGTGCAACTGCACACTCATAGAACACTCACACAGCGAGAGACAGGAACAAGCTCTGGCAGAAACTACCACAGTGTTCCTGTTAACCTGACTGATCTTGTTCTCTCACCCTCCAGCAGCACAACTCCTCAGCCGACTGTGAGGATAACCAATGGCTACGTGACGGTGGAGCCTCTCCTCACCCACCAGGAGCAGAGGAGGAGGACAGGCCTCTACCCCCCATTGGAGCCGCCCAGCCAGGCCTCACCCTCCGCGCTGCCCACCCCCAGCTCAGCCCAGTCCACCATCGGCACCACCCACGCCCTCGCTTGCCTACTAATGTTACTCACCTTGCACCTGCTGTTCACCTCCTGACCACACGGTGGAGCTCTCTCCACAGACACACTAACACTGTCTCCATACCTGAGCACTGTTATGTGCCTAGAACCCTAGAACATACAAAGATCTACATATAAAGATTCTGCAAACGGGAACTGGAGGTGGAAATAAACTGCTATGGGCCTGGAACATCCACAGAACATAGAACCTGTGGACATGGATATGAGGGTAGGGGACAACAGACAGACAGACAGACAGACACACCAAGGACTTCTGAGACAGAGCTGTCCGTCTTCAGGCTTCAGGGAATGGAGCAGGATCAGTCTGTGAAAAGTCCTTTAAACTCACACTGTGGAATAACTTTCACCCATGACAAAATGGATAAACGGTCTCTATCAGAGAACTAATGGAAGATACTGTATATACGACATCCATATTATGAAGTTGTCAGGCCGAGTCTTAAAATCCCAAGAAAGCAATATGATAAAACAAGGAGTATAGCACAAGGTCTGTAACTCTCAGAAGAGTCTGTGAGGTGTCTAAAACCACCTTAAATGAAGTGTTATTATTATGAATAATATTGATATTAATGATGAGAATAGACACACTAATGACTATAATAACAGCTATAACTCTGTAATAAGGTCTGATATCTTATAGACATAGGATGTGGAGCACACACACAGTGACGTTTTTGTAAATTGTGCATTTTGTTCATAAAGAAATATTGTATATTTATTATTTCTCAAAGAGTATATTTTCTTGCATTTGATGATTACTGGAAAAATAAACTTTTGGAAATTCACTCAGGTTTCTTGGAGTGCTTATTTTTCTAGGCCTGCATGTCCATGCTAATGCCAGTTAGTATTCCATTTCAAGCACAGTGCACAAATGTAAAGGTAAGCCTAGAGGTAGAGCACGGCGCTTATAACGCCAAGGTAGTGGGTTCGATCCCCGGGACCACCCATACACAAAAAAAAAAATGTATGCACGCATGACTGTAAGTCGCTTTGGATAAAAGCGTCTGCTAAATGGCATATTATTATTATTATTATTAAAATGTAGAGGGGAATTCTCCAAGAAGTGAATTCACTGCCCTCTACTGGTAAGAATTGGCATGCAGGGATTGGTCATCAAGTTTCACGGTATGGTTCTAATTTCACCACCAGGTGGCAACAGCGGCTTAAACAAAACAAAACAAAATTCACAAAATGCTCAAGCTCCAATATGAAACCAATTAAGGCTCCGTGGTCATGGACACCTCTGCTACTCCCACCACTTTCAGCAACGCTCTTGTTAGCTTTTATGTAGTCAAAGTATATATATTATGTATAATTTCCAACAGCGTAGGCTTTAGCGCAAATGTTATTTTCTGCAGTAGGCTAGTCTACAACAGGTGGCAATGGTGACAGTGAGTTGACTATTCCAAGAACTCAAACAAAGCTAAGTGCTTAGTTTATAGCACTTTGAAAACTAGAAACTAGGATTGTCGTATTTTCACTGGTGCCATATTATTTGATCTAATCCAATTCAGTGTAGATCACACCATAGGGCTATACCTTTATTTATTTAAACTGGTGTCATTTGATTAAAAAAAACGAAACACAATTTCAGTGGTTCAATTAATTTGGTTAATGTAGGCCGCCTGGTAAAATTTTATTTATTTATTTATTTATTGAGAAAACGAAACTCATATACTTGTAACCAGTTGACGATATTTTTTTAGGTTGATCCAAAGAGTATTAAAAAATGTTTTACAGTGTAGGCCTATTCCACATTGCATCTATCAGAGTAGGCTACAGCTCTTTAGATGTATTTTTACCTTTGGGATTTCATTTGTTAAAGTAATTTTTTTGTGCAGAATAAAACAAATGGATCGTTATTTCTTTGTTTCTTTGTTCAATATGTCAAATTAAATGTGACAGGTTTCTGACTAATGGTGCCTAATGTGAGCAATCATCATACAGTATAGTATATGTCTCCTGAGTGGCGCAGTGGTCTAAGGCACTGCATCGCAGTGCTAACTGTGTCACTAGAGATCCTGGTTCGAATCCAGGCTCTGTCGCAGCCGGCCGCGACCGGGAGACTCATGGGCGGCGCACAATTGGCCCAGCGTCGTCCAGGGTAGGGTAGGGTAGGGTAGGGTAGGGAATGGCCGGCAGGGATATAGCTCAGTTGATAGAGCATGGCGTTTGCAACGCCAGGGTTGTGGGTTCGATTCCCACGGGGGGCCAGTATAAAAAAAAAATGTATTCACTAACTGTAAGTCGCTCTGGATAAGAGCGTCTGCTAAATGACTAAAATGTAAATGTATAGGACTATGCAGAGAAAAGAGAGGTTTGTGAATTTTCTTAATTGTGGGAGCACTGTTTCACCTACAAAACCCACAACGGTGATTAAAACGTTCTTAATTCAATGGCACAGTATAATGTTATGCATAGCCTCAACCCTTATCTAGGCAAGCCTATCTATTTATATGAAACATGTTATTTATTTATTCATTCATTCATTATCATTTTTATTTAGTTATTGTCACACGTTCAGTCATTCCCGAAATCCACGTTGACCCATATGACTCAGGCATGTTGTTGCTGGAAGTTCCTCTAGTCCTGTACACCGGCTGCTTTTAATTAACCTAACAGAGCCTTGCACTGGAGCCATCTGTATAGCACGGAAACCAAAAATACTAGACCTATGTTGTCCTGTATTTACTGGAAATATAGGTATACTAATACATGGGAAAAGTCAGAGTAATAACAGACATTCAATGTTGAATGTGTTTATTATTATGAAATATTGAGGCATATAGCTAGATATTGGAGCAGAGATAGGCTTCATATCTATTCCAAAATATGCATTCTTAATCTATTTCATAATAAATCTCATGCACAAAGCATTGGTTGACTGAAATAGTGTCTCACCATATAGTAAACACAAACCAAACAGATTTAATGAGCTCAATAATTATGACCTGTATGATCCATCTATTCCATTCTGTCTGAGACTATGATAATATGTAACAATCCATTTGAGATTGAAATCCATTTGAAATTGAAAATATATTTCTTGAGACACCTGTTCAAATTGGCAGCAAACATACACTTTTGTCAAATGAAAGATAAGGAAGTAGCACAATAAACAGCAATGAATTGACGCAAGATGACAGATACAAAACACAATCACAACTCACTCAATAAAGTACAATTCCCAATACCTTATAATACAAATCAAGTATAACAGTGTGAATGCTTCTAGTAAAAGCCACTCCTTCACAAGTAGTATCCTAACTGCCACAGCCATTATGCCAACTTGTTCTGCTGGTGGTTGCTTGCTAACTAAATCCCCTTCACCTAATTGAGATGCTCCAATGACACTCTAACCCCATTAATATTAATTGGATAATAAATTATGATAACTGTCTAAACTTTGTTCCAATTTCAACATCCTCTCTTCCTTCCTCCAGACAGAGTTTCTGGCATGATGGATGGAGGGGAACAAGTTTTAAGAAATTAACAGCTATTTCACCCCTTAAGCCAAGACAGGACAATGTTTGCCTTTGCTAAAATACCATTTTCCCTGGGCTTTGGGGTGTTGTTTGACAGAGTGGGGGTCCTGACAGGGTTCACACAGGACTGACCCTCACACTACCCAGGAAAGAGACCAGTCTGCATATAAATAAAAGATTACAGCGGAAAATCAATTTCTGGGCAAACTCATTAAAAATTCTTCATCACCTTAAATGATTCCCCTTCTTTTTGAATTCTCCCCCCTCTATCTCCCGGCGCTCCCCTCTCTCTCCTCCCTCCATCCTTCCTTCCCCTGTTGCTCTCCCCCAGCGGTAATTACCAGCACAAGTCGTTTTTTGCCCTTTGATTTGCACCGTTTCACAAATGAAGGTTAAGTTTGTTTAACCGCGGTGGATTTGCCAGTCATGTTAAAGCATATAATGTGGCAGGTCCTTGTTTTCTCCACACACCTCCACCCCTGGCCTCACTCCCCCTCTCCACGCGCTTCCTGGGAGGTTGGGGGTGGTGGGGGGTTCCAAGGTTAAGGCTTGCCGGGGCCCAGGGCCGAGGTGGGCTGCAATGGATCAGGCGCCAGACTGAGTTGACTTGACTGGAGGGGGATAAGGAAGTTGTTAAAAATCACCTCTGGTAAAAGGATTACAAATCAAACAAAAAAGCTTAGTGGCATGTTGGCCTTGTGAGGGCCTTTAGGTGCTCGCAGGAACCTATTGAAAGCAACAGGATGGAGGAGAGAGATAAGAAAGCGATTGTTATCCAGTCCAAGGTCTTCCATCAAGGACCTTAGAAATCAATACTATGTTGCTTCTATGAGAGTTATAGTTTGTGAGTTGTGGTTATGAATTGAAAGGAACGAAAATACACAAAAGACACACACATCAATTATTGGATGTTCACATTTCAAATTGTTTCCCCTTGTGTGAACCTACAGTGGCTGGCGAAAGTATTCACCCCCCTTGGCATTTTTCCTATTTTGTTGCCATACAACCTGGAATTAAAATTGATTTTTGTATCATTTGATTTACACAACATGCCTACCACTTTGAAGATGCAAAATATAGAACAGAAAACTTGAGCGTGCATAACTATTCACCCCCCCCAAAGTCAATACTTTGTAGAGCCACCCTTTGCAGCAATTACAGCAGCAAGTCTCTTGGGGTATGTCTCTATAAGTTTGGCACATCTAGTCACTGGGATTTTTGCCCATTCTTCAATGCAAAACTGCTCCAGTTGGATGGGTTCCTCTGGTGTAAAGCAATCGTTAAGTCATAGCACAGATTCTCAATTGGATTTAGGTCTGGGGTTTGACTAGGCCATTCCAAGACATTTAAATGTTTCCCCTTAAACCACTCAAGTGTTGCTTTAGCAGTATGCTTAGGGTCATTGTCCTGCTGGAAGGTGAACCTCCATCCCAGTCTCAAATCTCTGGAAGACTGAAACAGGTTTCCCTCAAGAATTTCCCTGTATTTAGCGCCATCCACCATTCCTTCAATTCTGACCAGTTTCCCAGTC